GGCCACCTGCAGTGAGGCCTAGGTGTTTGAGGAGAGGCACCTAGGGCAGTGGCTCTCAGGCACCCCCTAGGGGCATTTTGGAAAATTGTAGGGCGTATATATATTTTTTTCTTTTTTTTTTTTTGAGATGGAGTCTTGTTCTATGGCCTGCCCTGGAGTGCCCTGGCATGATCCTGGCTCACTGCAACCTCCACCTCCCAGGTTCAAGTGATTCTTCTGCCTCAGCCAGCTGAGTAGCTGGGACTACAGGCACGTGCCATCATACCCGGCTAATTTTTGTATTTTTTAGTAGAGACAGGGTTTCACCATATGGGCTAGCCTGGTCTCGAACTCCTGACCTTGTGATCCGTGTGGGGCATCTTTAATAGAGACAATGATTAGGAGACACTTTGAGAATTTATTGGATGAGGCCGGGTGCGGTGGCTCATGCCTGTAATCTCAGCAGTTTGGGAGACCGAGGCAGGTGGATCACGAGGTCAGGAGTTCAAGATCAGCCTGGCCAACATAGTGAAACCCCGTCTTACTAAAAATACAAATATTAGCCGGGTGTGGTGGCGTGCATCTGTAATCCCAGCTACTCGGGAAGCTGAGGCAGGAGACTCACTTGAACCCAGGAAGCAGTGGTTGCAATGAGCCGAGATCATGCCACTGCACTCTGGCCTGAGCAGCAAAATAAGACTCCATCTCAAAAACAAAAACAAACAAACAAAAAAGCCCAATCAGGCCAGATGCAGTGGTGCTCCCCTGTGGTCCCAGCTATTTGGGAAGCTGAGACAGGAGGATCACTTGAGGCAAGGAGAGCAAGGCTTCAGTGAGCTATGATCATGTCTGTGAATAACTGCTGCACTCCAGCGTGAGCAAAACAGAGAGACCCAGTTGGAAAAAAAAAAAAAAAGTCCTGGGTACTGTGGCTCAAGCATGTAATCCCAGCACTTTGGGAGGCTGAGGCGGGAGGAGTGCTTGAGCCCAGGAGCTGGACACCACCCTATGCAACATAGGAAGATCCCATCTTTACTTCCGGCTGACAGGTCAAAAATTAAAAATAATTTAAAAATTAAAGACAGCCATCTGTCCCTACAAAAAAGAGCCCAGCGAAGTGGCATACACCTGGAGTCCCAGCTATTCAGGAGGCTGAGGTGGGAGGATCACTTGAGTCCAGGAGATTGAGGCTGCAGTGAGCCCTAATTGCACCACTGCACACCAGCCTGGGTGACAGAATGAGACCCTGTCTCCAAAAGAAAGAAAAGTATAAAAATAACATTTAGAAGGAAGCTTAGCTGGGCGCAGTGGCCCATGCCTGTAATCCTAGCACTTTGGGAGGCCGAGGTGGGTGGATCACCTGAGGTCAGGAGTTCAAGACCAGCCTGGCCATCATGGAGAAACCCCATCTTTGAAAAGAAGAAAAAAAAAAAAAATAGAAGGAAGCTTAAATAGAAAATATTGTCTTGAGATGATTGCATTTTGTCTACTCAGTCTCTGGAGTAGCTGAGACCACAGGTGAAAAAAAATAATAATAATTAGGCCGGGCACGGTGGCTCACGCCTGTAATCCCAGCACTTTGGGAGGCCAAGGCGGGTGGATCACGAGGTCAAGAGATCGAGACCATCCTGGTCAACATGGTGAAACCCCGTCTCTACTAAAAATACAAAAAATTAGCTGGGCATGGTGGCGCGTGCCTGTAATCCCAGCGACTCAGGAGGCTGGGGCAGGAGAATTGCCTGAACCCAGGAGGCGGAGGTTGCGGTGAGCCGAGATCGCGCCATTGCACTCCAGCCTGGGTAACAAGAGTGAAACTCCGTCTCAAAAAAATAAAATAATAAAAATAAATAAATAAATAAATAAAATAATAATAATAATAATAATAATCAAAAATCCAGGCTGGGCTTGGTGACTCACCTGTAATCCCAGTACTTTGGAGGGCCAAGGAGGGTGGATCACCTGAGGTCAGCAGTTTGGGACCAGCCTGACCAATATGGTGAAACCCCGTCTCTACTAAAAATATAAAAATGAGCTGGGTGTGGTGGTAGGCTTCTGTAATCCCATCTACTCGGGAGCCTGAGGCAGGAGAATTGCTTGAACCTGGAGGCAGAGGTCGCAGTGAGCCGAGATCACGCCACTGTACTCCAGCCTGGGTGACAGAGCGAGACTCCATCTCAAAAAAAAAAAAAAAAAAAAAATCCAATGGAGCACTTTAAATTTGTTGTAATTTTGTATTTGACACAATAAACATTAGTCCTTTTAAAAACTAACTTTACTTAGAAAATAAGATACAAAATCTTCAAGGACAAATCACAGTGTACAAGAAATTTGAAAGATGAGATAATATCCACCCTGGAATTTTTTTTTTTTTTTTTTTTTTTTTTTTTGAGACAGAACCTTACTCTGTTTTCCAGGCTGGAGTACAGTGGCACAATCTGGGCTCACTGGAAGCTCTGCCTCCCAGATTCAAGTAATTCTTGTGCCTCAGCCTCCCAAGTTGCTGGGATTACAGGCGTGCACCACAACACCCAGCTGATTTCTATTTTTTTAATTCGAGATGGGGTTTAACCAATTTGGTCAGGCTGGTCTCAAACTCCTGATCTTAAGTAATCTGCCCCCCCTCAGCCTCCCAAAGTTGTGGGATTACAGGCATGAGCCACTGCACCCAGCCCCACCCTGGAAAAATTTTACAAAATGATAAATAAAAAGAAGAAAAGTCTGGACGTGGTGGCTCATGCCTATAATCCCAGTACTTTGGGAGCCGGAGGCGGGCAGATCACCTGAGGTCGGGAGTTCGAGACCAGCCTGACCAATGTGGAGAAACCCCCACATCTCTACTAAAAATACAAAATTATTAGAAGACACGCAACAGATTTAAAAAATAATAATACAAAATTAGCCGGGCATGGTAGCTCAAGTCTCTAATCACAGCACTTTAGGAGGCTGAGGCGAGTGGATCACAAGGTCAGGAGTTTGAGACCAGCCTGGCAAACATAGTGAAACACCATCTCTACTAAAAATATAAAAAATTAGCTGGATGTGGCAGCGGGCACCTGTAATCCTACCTACTCGGGGAGCTGAGACAAGAGAATCACTTGAACCTGGGAGGGCGAGGTTGCAGCAGCAAGCTGAGATTGTGCCACTGTACACAAGCCCAGGCGGCAGTGTGAGATGCCATCTGCAAAAAAAAAAAAAAAAAAAAAATGTCCAGGCACGGTGGCTCACGCCTGTAATCCCAGAACTTTGGGAGGCTGAGGCACGCGGATCACGAGGTCAGGAGATCGAGACTATTCTGGCCAACATAGTGAAACCCTGTCTGTACTAAAAATACAACAAATTATCCAGGTGTGGCAGCATGCGCTTGTAGTCCCAGCTACTCGGGAGATGGAAGCAGGAGAATTGCTTGAACCCAGGAGGCGGAGGTTGCAGTGAGCTGAGGTCATGCCACTGCACTCCAGCCTGGGCAACAGAGTGAGACTCCATCTCAAAAAAAAGAAAAAAAAAGAAGAAGAAAAGAGGGCTGGGCACAGTGCCTCATGCCTGTAATACCAGCACTTTTTTAAGGAGTTTAGGAATTTGAGACCAACCTGCACAACACAGAAAGACCCTGTCTCTACAAAAAATACAGAAATTAGCCACGTGTGGTGCGTGCACCTGTAGTCCCAGCTACTCTGGAGGCTGAGGTGGGAGGATTGCTTGAGCCCAAGAGGCAGCGGTTGCCTGAGCTGAAATCTAGCCACTGCACTCCAACCTGGGCAACATACCGAGACCCTGTCTGAAAAAAAAAAAATTGTTCCGTACCTGGCCAGAAAAGAAGAGGCCCACTGACTGTACGCAGAGGGAAAGAGGAAGGAGACGGTTGGACTTCTAAACTCACTAGAGCAGGAGGGGCAAATGTGGAACATGCTCAGGAAATATCTGTGAGCGAGATGAATGAACTTGAGGGAAGTAATGTAAGAGATATTACCTTCCC